GCGGGACCGTTGTAGACCAATATAAACCATCATAAGAAACGGACTAATAGACTTGAAAACTTTCGACGTTTGGTCACTTGTTCTGAAAACAATAAGAACATAGAGCAAATTTCGAGATATCTGTATTTCGAATTGTCGCGAAACTAGAAGATGACGAGCCCAATTGAAATTGACAGACTATGGCGAAGCATAGTTTGAGTTTTCTACTATAGCGAAGAACAAGACTCTTTCTACTTTTTATACCGGCGTAACTTAGGGAATTACAATGGTGATTGTTTACTAAGGCGGCTCATGCTCATGTAAACGCTAGAGATTACAGATGGAAAATACGTTTCAATACATCTTAACAAATTCAAGAAGCTATATTGGCGCATAACCATTTTTTTAAACGTTCTTTTTTAAAAAAAATATATTTTACATAATATTAAATTTGCTTCAGCGTTGACAAGAATACGGTTGGAGCCAAAAGTGGCCTCGACCTCAAAACAAACATTTATGAGCTTACAAAAGGGTGTTATGAATGAATTCAGCAACATAACATCCTGACCTCGTTTCATTTTGTGCTAAATTCAGTAAAAATTATATTTTAGTGTGAAGAGGTAATCTCACCGTTTTCTCACCTGTTTTCACCCTCTTGAATTTTCGATGAATTTCCTTTAAGATAGAAAAAAAATAAAACTAACTTTATTTTTTTTAAGTTTTGGTCATCTTCACTTGTTATGACAAATATACTATATTTTTTACTTAAAAATATGCAAGGGCTCATAGCCTCAGTGGTATGAGGCTACCTCGCTACAGGCGTCGAAGACCTCGCGCTTCAAATCCCGATTCGCCGCAGTTTTCCTTTTATGCACGTGAAATTTCATGTACATAGGTTACTTTGTGTTAGACCCTAGTGAAGAAATATTAGAACGATTGATAGTTTTACATTGTAAGGTTACTTTGGTGTTAGACCCTAGTGAAGAAATATAAGAACGATAGGAGTTACATTGTAAATTGCGACGATAAAAAGTCTTCTGCTACTTAAGCAGTACTGCTACGTGTCAGTAAAGTACTGCTACTGTCAGTAACTGCTACTGTCAGTTAAACGT